CCCCAAAACCCCAAAACCCCAAAACCCCAATTTTCCTTTTTTTTGAAATAGATAAAACTTGTGAATAAAATTATCTAAATAATATAATTAAAATTTGAAATATTCATAAACCTTTATAAGCTCTTCCTTATTTCCACCAGCGTATAATGTTTATCAAATAATAAGAATGAAAAATCATTAGAGGTAAGAATGCCAATCCCAAATACACAGCTCCAAAAAGGACACCACTAAGCATCCCCAAGCAAATGCAAACTGGATATGTAAAAATCAGCAGATAGATAGCTATTGTTTTAATCATTGGGCCTTTCAAATCATCTGTGATACTTTTAAAAACATAAAACGGCCCAACAATCCAAAATAGTGCAGCACCAATAAAAATCAAAAAAAAGGATATAAACTGGGCTCCAAATGATAGTAGCAGATAAATTAAGATAAGCTTCCTAAAGCTTACTGATTTGTATTTGTTTCCAATACAGATTCCATAAACTAAGGTTTCTTAGATATCCTTATTATGAATTATATGACCCACTGGAAATCCACAACCCCAACAAAAATGATGTTAGCATTTGTAGCACTTCATATGTATGCATCCATCATTTTTTTCAATCAATACTTTGCATTTAGGACATTTTTAAGCATCTTTTTTCAAAATCCAACCAACAGTAGTACTGTTTTAATACTATCTACAAGATTTACCCTAGTGCCAAACAGCTTGACAGTCAAAACAGATGTCATTATTACATTTATTACATTTGATCTTAGAGGAAAAGCCTAACCCTTTTTTCTCTAATATGTTGTGACAATCAGGGGATGGACAGAATTTTTTGTTTTTGTCTAAAGTTAACTCATAGTTCAACATGAATCCAAGGTATTTTTAGAACATTTCAGAGTTTGTCAGATTTTGAATGACATTTCTTGATAAAACAGCTGTACATTTAGAATCAGGACATTTTAATTTGTTGACTTCTCCAGAAACATCAATGGCATACAATACCATCTCTTCCAAGCACTCTTTGCAATAAATATGGCCACAATTTAAACTTAGTAATTGTGAATCATGTTCAAAGGATTTGTAACAAATTTTGCAATAAAACTTTTCTTCTTCAAGATCTTGTTTTTTCTTTTACATTGATTTCTCACGTTATTAAATAAGAATTGTGTTTTATGCTTAAATCATGGGCTATTCTTGATTCTGATTAAGGAATTATTTTATTTAGGTCTTAAATACCAGCTTCTCTAATTACGAATTTTCTTGAGTCTGCTTTATATCTCGTGGTATACTTAATATTTTATTTTAGGATAAAAATTTCATCCTTCTAGTTTCTTTTTAATCTAAAATTGGTTTGTATTTTTCAGTCCTGCCCCCATCTATATCTGAAAAATATTCCTTTTCAACTATGCTATCTAACAACTTTCTTCTAATATGGTCTTATTTTAAGCGATAATTTTCCTTCATATTTTTTAGTTTGGTTACTGAATCTTCAAAGGAAGAATTTCCACTATCTAATTCTTATAAATTGCATCTGTAAGTTGCATCACTACGTTTGGTATTAAAATTTACTTCTTCTTTTTATTTATCAAAAATGCTCATATTTAAGATTTGTTTTTATTCTTCTAAATCAATTGTTTAGGAGATCTCTTCACTCTACTATTCCTTGGGATCTTCCTATGGATAAAATATCAAAAAATTTTAGCGCATTGTTTGTGCCAAATTCTCATCCATTGGTAAAATATCGTACTTTTCATCAGATTCGTTCATTTTATTGTTT